TGAGAAGTGACTATGATTAGAACCAAGTCAAGTAAAGACTTGTTGCGTCGCCTCTTTTTTGCAGGCGTCTTAATTCCCTCTCTATCCTTGAGTCTATTAATTAAAAACAAGTAATTTTTACTTATCTTCTTATCGGTATTCCGTACGTTTAATTTATTTCCTATTTAGTTTATTTCGGTGGCTTCTCCAATTTTACGTTTAGCCACAGATATGCCATAATAAGAAAAACGATAAGTTTGAGACCATCCAATCCCGCGTCCCGTTTCTTCCCTGTCCTCAGCCAGCTCCGGCTTTTGAATTCAACAGCCTTTGCAGGCGCTTTGTGCTCAGCCACCCTTTGTCGAATAGGACGCCAAGTCTCTCCAACATAAAAGCAACTACATTAACACATTATTTTGGGGCAACTCGTTCTGGATAATGGGTCAAATTTCTCTCTAAAAATGGGCAATTTTCGTATTAGTCGTAATATCCATTATCCTCTAATCTAGTAAATTCATATGAATTCTTCATAAAGCTATTGAAGCACTAATACTCGACCTTTGCCACCCCACCTGTGCTATTCGAGGCGTTATTTCCCACACTGCGTCTGAGTGACTAATTTAAGGCTAAAGCCTTTTAGTAAGCCTTATGGTCAAGACTTTCTTACATGGATCACATCTCTGGTAAAACCTAATGTCAGCCAACTAGCTCCAGTCTCAGCCGCGTCTATCCTGTTTCTATGCTTAATACTTGGTATATAACTTGCTATGCCATAGTATTATGTGTGCCAACCAACAAGCGTTGTAATTCAAACGCCAAGCAAGCAGTACCATAACATTTGTGGGTTGGTACACATGCGACTAGGGCATAGCAAATCATATACTTGGTATTCGGGATAGAAACAGGACAGTTGACTAAAACATGACGTGTGCTTCATGAATCACGTCTATTGTTAGCCAAATAGCTCTATTCTCCACCACATCTATCCTGTTTCCATCCATTATAGCATGTCTATCACTTCCTATGTCCTAATCTCTTCTGTGCCAACCCACAGATGCTGTGGTTCTACTTGTTTTGATTAGCCTTCTCTTGGCTTCTGATTGCTCCTTTCTCGCCCCCCTGCGATCTCTTTTCTAAAATTAAGGATATTACCTTGATCCAATCGTCTTCTTTTTGCTGATTTTCTCTAGTTAGTTTAGGCAATATGCAAAGTCTTCGCTGATCATGCCTTCTTCAAGTCTTCTGTTCATTAGATTTCTCTCGGTAAGTATTTCGATGGCCTCTCGGATCTTGTGTTTCTCATATTTTCACCATATGCAGCCAGTCTTTAGGTCGATTTACAGTCAATTTCGTGCTCCTTTCGTGCAATGTCTTTGATGTTCCTTTATTCGTAGGCCGATTTTTCTTCCTGTTTCACCTAGATACTTCTGGTCACAGTTGCCGCATTTGTTTCGTCCTGATTCCTAATCTGATTTTCATAAAATCCGAGTTGTAATCTGTCCTTTATAACCTCCACATTTTTTTCTATAAATTCTCCGGCGTACCCGTTACTAAGGCAAATCCGTGTCATTTTGTCCAACTCCTCGTCTCAGGTCTCAGTGTCCGTTAGTCGTAAGCTGCTGATGATAAAACGCCTCAGTCTTTAGTTATGGTGAGACTGAAAATGGATTTGCCGGTGAGTTTTCTTGACTCGTTAACTTGAATTTGGTTGTGACGATGATAACTTACTCTGAAGATGTTCGTCATATGACGGACGAAAGCTTAGCACCTTTTCACCTGAATCGAAGGAGATTACCTCAGAAACAGCGTCAGCATGAATGTTCCAGTAAAGCCAATCGACAGCTGGTAAAGAGGGATCGGCCGTCATCTTCTGGTGGAATCGACCTTCGAATCTCTCCACCAAACACTCACTCGAAATGGAAATAAGCCCAACACTGTGAGCTTTCCCTTATAATGACCAAATTCGGCAAGCATTTCACTTTGTTGCCCTTTCATCCTAATTGAATTAAAGGAACACTTGAAGCGGAGGTTAAGAATATGACATTCTGCTCTGTACATTGATGTCGATTACAAAGTAAGAAGGATTCATTTCTATAACCATTTATTATGACGGCGAGTCTGATCCGCTATTTTTTTCTTGTTTTGATGCTTCCTTTATTTAGGCAGGCCTTTAATGAAGAGCGTTGCATTGCCCAATGCTACTGCTTATTGGAGTACCTATTTTCATTAATAACATGTGTATTCACATTCTATATATTGTAGATTCGCTCTTAACATTATTTTTCCAATCCATTTACTTTGCTGTTCACGTTTTATTTTCACCATATAAGGTATGCAACTTGCCGTTATATATGAGATATATTTACTCTATTTCGTCCCAGGTGATGAAGGACTGCTAGTTGAATTTTTCCACAACTAAAGGAGTATAGCTGACGCTTCCATTTAATTTCACATGGTCTTGCTTTCCTAAAGTGTGTTCCCATCCAGTATGGTCTGCAGCTTCGACTTCTCATAGGTCTTATCAACACCCTCAGCGGGAGTCGAACCATGACAGTGCATTGTGTAAGCTCGACACGTTAACCCCTACGCCACATTGCCACGAGTTCAATTGGGTAACAGAGCAGATGTGAACTTTAAGGAAGGCCAGGCATTTCCCCATATCATATTCTTTGGTGGGATTGTCGATGCAGTAAAGTTATATTTGCTATGAAAATTGACTATATTACTTATTTTTAGAAGTGGGTTCATCTCGATGTCGCATTCTTTATTCAGTCATAACCATACCAGCAACCTGTGTATGAAATGTGTATTCTAATACAAGAAATAGTGCTCTTTCTCTCCTAAGTCAACTTTTTTTATCTAGTTTGCTCCTCAATTTTTAAAGACTACTATAATTATGACTCCGTTTTAGAAACGAGCTAGACCTCTAGGTCTGTCTCGTCGGCTAATGGAAGATGTGGTTCTGAAATTGTATAGGGATCAAAATTTATACTAGGCTAAATGTTTGCAATCGTATTAATGAAGAAGTGGATGTGTGGGTAAGGTTGAGGTGGGGCGGAGTAACCAAGAGGCCTTGCTGGATATGTGTTGCCAACACGAAGCCA